TTCCCTTTCTTCTAAGGGATTCTTGCCCACAATAGTAGATGTAATGGTCATCTGAGTCAAATTCACCCATTCCCATCTATTTTACATCGCTGATTCCTAAAATGTCAATGTTCACTCTTGCCATCTCCTATTTGATCACTTCCAATTTGCCTTGATTCATGGACTTAACATTTTAGGTTCCTATGCAATATTGCTCTGTACAGCCTTGGGACTTGCTTCTGTCACCAGTCCCATCCCCAACTGGGTATTACTTTTGCTTTGTCTCTGTCTCTTCATTCTTTCTGGAGTTATTTCTCCACTGATCTCCAGTAGCATGTTGGGCACCTATTGACCTGGGGAGTTCTTTCAGTGTCTTATCTTTTTGCCTTTTCATACTGTTCATGGGGTTCTCAAGGCAAGAATACTGAAGTGGTTTGACATTCCTTTCTCCAGTGGACCACATTTTGTCTGAACTCTCCACCATTACCCGTCTATATTGGGTGGCCCTACACAGCATGGCTCATAGTTTCACTGAGTTAGACAAGGCTGTGGTCCATATGATTAAATCGGTTAGTTTCCTGTGATTGTGATTCCCGTCTGTCTGCCCTCTGATTCCCTCTCTAAGGGCTGACTGTCTTACTAGGGTTTGTCTTACCTTGGATATGGGGTATCTCTTTACAGTTGCTCCAGCAAAGCACAGCCGCTGCTCCTTACCTTGGACATGGGGTGTCTCTCTCGGCCGCCGCTACTGACCTTGGACATGGGGTATCTCCTCTTGGACTCTCGCCTGACTTTATATAAAAGTATTCCTGAATTGAATCAAATTTTGTTACCAAACAATTTTAATGTTAGTTTTATCTCTTTTACTAGATAATTATGATGGGCCTCGCAGTTGGTGGCAATGTAAGATTATCATGATACTTTAGTCATAAAAACATAATTTAAAGATAATAGTCCTGTCCTAAGATTTAATGGCCTGGTTTCTTATTTCTCCATGGTAGATGTGTTCCTAATCCCTTTCTTATGTTTTGCTATATAAATTCTGAATATTATTTCCTATTTTCAATACCTTATATGGATATTATAAGATTACATTTAAATGACAAATGCATTTTACCATCTCTGAATATAATTGAAAGATAGATTTATTTTCATCATTATCATGTTCATCTATTTCTGCAATTGACAGAAGAAACAACTACTTTGAAGAAGTACTATAACATTTATCTGATATGAAGCACTAAATTTATAATGAGGTTCATAATTATCACTTAACATATAACCAAATGCAATATTTAGAAATTATGGCTACTGCAAATGGTCATTAATGTTGTTTAGTAGTGTCCTATTCTTTTCTATCCCATGGACTCTAGCCCTCCAGGTTCCTCTGTCCATGAGATTTCCTAGGCAAAGATACTGGAACAGGTTGCCATTTCCTTTTCAGGGGATCTTCCTAACCCAAGGATTGAACATGTTTCCCCCACTGGCAGACAGATTCCTTACTGCTGAGCCAACAGAGAAACCTATCATGAATGGGTTGAAGTGAAGTTGCTCAGTTGTGTCCGACTCTGCGACCCCATGTACTACCGTACTCTTCATAGGATTTTCCAGGCAAGAGTACTGGAGTTTGTTGCCATGAATGGTAGATCAGTTAAAATAAAATTGTTGTTCAGTCACTAAGCTGTGTCTGACTCTTTGCGACTCCATTGCCTACAGCATACCAGGCTTCCCTGTCTTTCACTGTCTCTGGGAGATTGCTCAGATTTATGTTCATTGAGTAGGTGATGCTATCTAAACATCTCTTCAAAATAAAATAATATAATACATATTTAAAAATCTGATAACAATGCACTGAAACATTTAATTTATAAGTACCAAGTACTCAGACTCTGTATTTAAGCTCATTTACTATCAAATATCCAAGTCCATAAGTGTTCAACTTGTTGCTATGTTTTTCTTTTGTGACTATGTTTTAAAGAATCTGCCCAAATGCAGGAGACCTGGGATCAGTTCCTATGTTAGGAAGATCCTCTGGAGTAGGAAATGGCAACCTGCTCTAGTACTCTTGCCTGGAGAATCCCGTGGATAGAGGAGATAGAGGAGTCTGGCTGGCTACAGTTCAAGGGGTCACAAAGAGTCCGACATGACTGAGTAACCTTTTTCACTTTACTTTCATATAGACTCAAAGATGAAGTTTAAAATTAAAAAGGAATACTGTAAAGTATTTCTCTGATGTTATTATGAAATAATTGGGTTGTTAGCAAGACCTGTTAATGATGGAAAAATACCCATGAGTTCCAATTAGCCACACATAAGAAACTTCATAGACTTTGCCCACAAATAGAATATGTGGCAGTGCTTTTAAGACTTATCCATAGGTACAATCAAGAGACACCGAGTTATGACATTTTTAATCCTATGACTTTACTTCTTTCCTGGGGAACTAACAGCTGCCTGGGGCCTGGCCATGGTGCTAGGTCAGACATTTTCATAGGTGAGATTATTTTTTGAAATAACATAATCATATATTCTCAGGTATAAATGCACATTTCTAATTATATAGTTACTCCTCATACAAATTTACCTGAGGTTTAAAACGTTCCTAAGCATACAAAACAACAAGAAAGGTAAAATTGACTACAATACTAAGCAATTTAGAAGTGAAAACATTTTAGAATATTTTCTTATTGATATGTATTTAAATTAGTTGAGCTAACAATATAATTAACTACAATGAAATAAGTTAGAATAGCTATATAATTAAAATATGCACCCCAAATTTTCCTCACTTAATATTACAACTGATAAATTTTTAATGATATTGCACAATTTTAAAAGCACCTCTGTTAAAAACTACAAATTATTCAAAAGGATCCGCTATATTTTAATTATCCTTTTCTCCACTGTGGAATATTTCACACCCTTTCCAAATTTTCCACAGCTGTTAATGATTATGTTGAACATATTTGTTCATAATGAAGTTTCTCTTAAAATATTTTACATTAACTTTTATTCCTAGAAAAAGTATTATGGAACCAAAGAAAAATCTAAAAAGTAATTTATTTTGTTTCATAGTTGTTTATAAAGCATTTATATGAATGGTGTTTAATTCTTTATTTACACTGTCTCTTTGATCTGCTGGGAGACCCCACTAAAGAAGGAGGGAGTTCAGTGAAGCTGCTGCATTGTGTTCCCACATATGCATACAATTTTCATCTTGGAAAATAAAGAAAAAATGTTTCTATCTGTTTATCTTTGAAAAGACATGCTGTATGGAATATGTTTAATTATATTTATTTTTCTTCTTTTTGGCAAATTTATAACCCCAAATTGTATTAGTAACACATCCTGTAACCAGGAATGATGGGAGACTGCTGCTGTATGGGAATACAGGAGAAGATGGCATGAGAATGCATGGAGCAGAAACATAAAGGAGTGGGAAAGGCATGCATGACATGGATAGATGTGCTGCTGCTGCTTGATGATACAATTTCAGAAATTAAGTCATTCAATAACATCACTTTTCATGGTTTTATGTGAGCAACATATATTAATATGCATTAATATGCAAGGGTTCAATAACTGTTTGATGAAGGAATTTGTAATAGGAGTTAATAGTAAGCAATGGATCTTATACATGTTTTGATAGTTGGTGTATTGATACATATGTTTATATGTATAGTGTATTAGATATCACTCTAATTTATCTAGCAGAGTATTTCTTTCTGCTCTCCTTGTTAAATTTTTATTGTTTTTTTTTTCCTTTATTTTTATTAGTTGTAAGCTAATCACTTTACAATATTATACTAATTTTTATTGCTAGAGCTTTGAAAATAAGGATTTCCTATGCCTGATAGATCCTTGTGTGTTGAATATCTATGCAAGAGTTTATGTTTTAACCCAAGTCTTCTAAAGCTATAATTTATAGAATATGGCAATGCTAAATTGTATGTGGAGCAGAATTTTGAAGAATTAAAAAGAAATAAATAAATAAGCAAACACACTATCTTGAAAGAAAAATGACCCAATATGTGCACTGTCATAGAAGCAATTAAATACTTTGATGGTTACCCTAGGGAGTGTGTCAGAAACTGTTATACTGGAGTGTAGCTTCCTTTCAAATGTTTATCTGTTTCTTATAAGGTAGAGAGACTACAGATAAACAAAGCTGAAGGACAAGAGCACTTGAATTCTTGCTGAGTTTATGGTTTGGGGAAACAGACATACGCTTAGCCTTCGAGAATAGGCATTTAATACCAAGCCCTTACTCATCACTCATTAGGTTTCAGGCAGTGCAGACATTCCAGGCACTATGGTAAGTGATGAATAGCTTATGTGTCCTGGTAGGTACAAGGGAGAATGCGTCTCCAAGGACTTATACACATCTCACTAAGTTCTCTTCATGTGATAGATATTTCTTTTTTCTTCCATTTATTTTTATTAGTTGGAGGTTAATTACTTTACAACATTGCAGTGGTTTTTGTCATATATTGAAATGCATTAGCCATGGATTTACATGGGGAATACATGATAGATATTTCTTAACCATATTTTTTTCTTTCCGCAGTTTGACCTGAGGGTGGGAATATAAATTCTCATGGAAGAGGGAATAACTCTTGCCTCTGTATAGCACTTCTCACCTTACAAGATACCTCTGAAAATTGCAATTTGTTACCTCACAGACACAGAGTAGGGCTTGGGAAGCATGGAGCACTGAGGTGACATAGTCCAAAGGATTTGGAACCAGTAGGAGAATCCAAATCTCATGTAGACAGCCCAGTGTTTTCTTAGCAAATTACACACCAAACACGGCCCTACTGATGTTTTACAGGTGACAGGTACTAGATGTCTGAAGAGGTGCAAATTACCATGGTGAAAATAAAAAAGAACTGAAACAAGTACAGGGCAAAATTTCCAAGGACATATTGCTCAGTGACTATTTTGATCTAAGAAAGTCAGATCACAAGCCTTTCATGATTAATGAGTATCATTCTTTATCCCAAGAAGCTGTTGCTTACTGAATGGATGTCCTCAGGCCTCCCAACAATGTGACTGAATTTGTTCTCTTGGGACTCACACAGAATCCACACGTGCAGAAAATACTCTTCATTGTCTTTCTGTTCATTTTCATCTTCACTGTGCTGGCCAACCTGCTCATTGTCATCACTATCTCCCTCAGCCCCACACTTTCTGCTCCCATGTACTTCCTTCTCACTTACTTGGCCTTATTAGATGCCTCCTTCACATCTGTTACCACCCCCAAATTGATTGTTGACCTATTTCACCAAAGGAGAATCATCTCGTGGCGAGAATGCATGACTCAGGTCTTTTTAGAACACTTCCTGGCAGCATCAGAGGTGATCATCCTCACTGTTATGGCCTATGACCGCTACGTGGCCATCTGCAAGCCTCTGCACTACACGACCATCATGCGACAGGGGCTCTGCCAGCTCCTAGTGGTGGTGGCCTGGATTGGGGGAATCCTTCATGCCACTGTGCAGATTCTTTTCTTGATGGACTTGACCTTCTGTGGTCCCAATGTAATTGACCACTTCATGTGTGATTTCTTCTCACTGTTGGAACTTGCCTGCAGTGACACCTACATACCTGGAATCGTGGTGGCAGCTAACAGTGGGGGCATGTGCTTACTCATTTTTTTCATGTTACTCAGTTCCTACATAGTCATTCTGAGCTCCCTGAAATCCCATGGCTCTGAAGGACGACACAAAGCCCTCTCTACATGTGGCACCCACTTTACAGTAGTGGTGCTCTTTTTTCTGCCTTGTGTGTTCACCTACACACGTCCTGTGGCCACTCATCCTGTGGACAAGTGGGTGACTATGTTCTCGGCAATCGTCACTCCCATGGTAAATCCTATCATTTACACAGTGAGAAACACAGAGGTGAAAAAAGCCATGAGGAATCTGTGGAAGAGGAGAGTAGTTTAGGTTGTCCCAAGTGCCAGTAAAGTGATGATCTATGTACTTAGGGAGAGTTATGGTGAGTACTCAGTTGCTAAGTCATGTCAGACTCTGCAACCCCATGGACTGTCACCAGCCAGACTCCTTTCTCCATGGGATTTCCCAGGCAAGAATACTGGAGAGGGTTGTCATTTCCTTCACCAGAGGATCTTTGCAACCCGGGGATCAAACTAGTTTCTCCTGCATTGGCAGGCAGATTCTTTACCACTGAGCCACCAGGAAAGCCCATGTTGTTTTTGTTGTTCAGTCCCTAAGTTGTGTCTGCTCTTTGCCACCTCATGAATGGTAGCATGCCAGGCTCCTGTGTCCTCCACTATCTCCTGGATTTTGCTCAGATTCATGTCCATTGAGTCAGTGATGCTATCTAACCATGTTATGTTCTGCTGCCTCATTTATCCTTTTGCCTTCAATCTTTCCCATCATCAGGGTCTTTTCCAATGAGTTGATCCTTTCTATGAGATTGCCAAAGTATTGGAGCTTCAGTTGCAGTGTCCGTTCTTCCAATTAATAGTTAGTGTTGATTTCCTGTATGATTGATTTGTTTGATCTTCATGAAACCCAAGGGAGTCTCAAGAGTCTTCTACAACACCACAGTTCAAAAGCATTATTCTTCTGGGCACAGCCTTCTTTATGGCCCAAAGCTCACATCTGTACATGAGTATTGGAAACAACATAGCTGTGACTATATGGACATTTGCTTGCAAAGTGACATCTCTGCTTTTTTAATATACAGTAGATCTGTCATAGCTTTCCTTCCAGGGAGTGATTGCCTTTTAATTTCATGGCTGCAATTAAGTTCTGCAGTGAATCAATCTGATTGTGATATTGACCATATGGTGATATCCATATGTAAAGTCATCTCTTAGGTCATTTAAAAGGGTGCTTGCTATGACCAGTGTGTTTTCTTGACAAAATTCTATTAGTCTTTGCCCTGTTTAATTTTTTACTCCCAAACCAAACTTGCCTGTTATCCTGAATATCTCTTGATTTTCTACATTTGCATTCCAATTCCCTATGATAAAAAGGACATCTTTTTTTTTGGTATTAGATCTAGAAGGTCATGTAGGTCTTCACAAAACCAATCAACTTCAGCTTCTTCAGCATCAGTAGTTGGGACATAGACTTACACTACACTGATGTCAAATGGTTTGCCTTGGAAGCAAACTGAGATGATTCTGTTTTTTTAGAGATTGCCCAAATACTGCATCTCTTATTCTTTTTCTAACCCTGAGGGCAATTCCACTTCTTCTAAGGGTTTCTTGTACACAGTAGTAGATATAATGGCCATCTCTGTTAAATTCAAGTCCCTTTTAGCTCACTGATTTCTAAGATGTCTATGTTCAACCTTGCCATCTCCTGCTTGACCACATCCAATTTACCTTGATCCATATGCCTAAAATTCCAGTTTTCTATGCAATATTTTCACTTACAGCATTGGACTTTACTTTTACCTCCAGACACATCCACAATTGATATCACTTCTGCTTTGGCCCAGTCACTTCATTCTTCCTGAAGCTATTAGTAATTGCCCTCCATGCTTCCCCAGTAGCATATTGGATACCTTCTGACTGGGGGGCTCATCATATCTTTTTTGCCTTTTCATACCATTCATGGGGTTCCCCTGGTAGGAATATGGAGTGGGCTGCCATTTCTTCCTTCAGTGGGCTGTATTTTGTCAGAATTCTTCACTATGATCCATCCATCTTGGGTGGCCCTGCAAGGCATGGCTTATAGCTTCATTGAGTTGTGCAAATTGCTTTGTCAAGACAAGGTTGTGATCCATGAAGGGACTGAATATGACTATAACTACTTTATTAAACTGTCACTGTCTCTGTTGTGAAATCTGTTATATGAGTGTAATACTCATGCAAGAGGAAACTTTCATATGATATTACCTTGTTTTATTAATTACAATGCCCTCAGCCATAGCATATTTTTGTGTATTAAAATTGGTGAAGTGAAAAGTGACGTCGCTCAGTCATGTCCGACTCTTTGCAATCCCATGGACTGTAGCCTACCATGCTCCTCTGTCCTTGGGATTTTCCAGGCAAAAGTACTGGAGTGGGTTGTCATTTCCTTCTCCAGAGGATCTTCCCAACCCAGGGATCAAACCTGGGTCTCCCACATTGTGGTCAGATGCTTTACCATCTGAGCCACCTGGGAAGTCATTAAACTAGGTAGTGTTATCCAATTTAATAATTGGATAAATATTTAATCACTATATCTGAATTGGTGATAAATTTTTATGTATAGACCAAACATCAAGCCAGAATACATTGAACTAAAAAGAAAAGAAAAAAAAAAAACTTGCAATGACAAGTAGAAAAATATATGATAAATTCATCTTTCCTGAAGCAAAACAACTGGTCTGGTACTTTGTTCTTAACTGTAAATAGTCTGAAAATAGTTATAAAATGCTTTTCTTATATCACTGTTACATTTTCAGTTCAGTTCAGTCACTCAGTTGTGTTCAACTCTTTGTGACCCCATGAACTGCAGTATGCCAGTCTTCCCTGTCCAACACCAACTCCCAGAGCCTACTCAAACTCATGTCCATTGAGTTGGTGATGCTATCCAATCATATCATCGCAACTTACAGACTTTAATCAGTGATATGATTTAGTAGTGTTTCTACACAGAGGATGAGATGGCTGGATGCCATCACAGACTCAATGGACATGAGTCTGAGCAAGTTCTGGGGGATGATGAAGGACAGAGAGACCTGGCATGCTGCAGTCCATAGGGTCACAGAGAGTCATACGTGACTGAGAGTGAATTGAACTGAACTGAAACAGGATTGTTGAGGGAGACTTTGCATGCACAGGTCACAAAGAGTTGGACATGACTGAGCAACTGAACAACGTAATTTTTAAATTTAGTGGAAAAATCCTGGTGTACTTAATTGATCAAGAATCAGTTTTGGACAGATTTCAGTTCTAAGATTTAATAATACAGGCAGTTAGAAATGGATAACATGTACAGTCATCTTCAACTCTACTGGTGTAAAAAAAAAAAGATACCCTTTTAAGAAATGCTATAAAGTTTGGGGTAGGTCCTTCATTAACCTTAAAGCAATTCAAAGAATAAAGAAAATAAAACATAATAATGTCTCCCAAAATTTCAAGTCACCTAGTCTGGCCACATCAACATGATAGAATGAGAAGAACAAAGCAACTGAATGGTATATTCTATTTTGGAGTTAGCTGGAAAAGTAGTTAATAAAATAAATTTCCCTAGGGGATGGCTAGTTGCTATCTTCCTAGGTAAACATAGGGTTTGTTGTTTTTTGTTTTTGTTTGTTTGTTTTTTCATAAATTATCCTAACATTGTGAACATTTGATTCTTTGTGAGCACAGTTGAATTTCATTTAAACAATCTACAGTGTAAATAATAACAGTTTTCTGAATAATCAGAGACTCCGTGGAGAAAATGGAGACACAGTTAAATGAAATAAAATATTTCTACAAGTAATAGTCCAGTCTGTCACAGTTCCTTGTCGTCCTGGATGAAAGATAAATTCTGAGTAACTTAAAAAGTCTTCAGTCACACTGAAGCCTCCACATGGCATCATATCAAGTCTCCAGATGGTGACAAAAACACCTTCTATTGGGAATTGGGCTTCACAGCTGTGTATCTTTATTATGTAAGAAATTAAAGTGTTTTGAAGTAAAGCTTTGATTACAGTTCTGGTTTTATCTTTTAACATGTTTGACTTTTGGGAAATTAATGAAATGGGGTAAGCCTTTGTTTCTTTGAATAAAAAAAAAAAGAGATTTCTGTCTTATTACAGTAAATGTTGAAAGTGATATATTAAACTGTAACACTGGAGAGATACAATCAGAGCAAGACTGAAAGAAGATCAATTGTTTGGACTGCTTGAGGATAACAAATTGTTAGAGGACAGAACAAAAGTAGACAAAACACTCAGGAGGGTGCTCCAGAGGCCAGGATGGAGTTGGGGCAGGAATGATCAAATCAGGGATACATTCTGAAAGTAGAGACAACAGGATTTGCCAAAGGCATGACTGAATAAGAAATCAATAAGGGAGTGAAGAACACTGTGAGATTATTGTCTGAGCAATGGCATTGAAATAAGATAAGGTACACTTTTAAATTGTGGAATTTTTAAATTATTATTAATATACTGCATTGATATTCAAATGCAGATGTCCCAAATTGGAGATATGCCAAACAAAAATTTGAAAATAAGGGTAGATGTCAGAGCTAGAGATTCAGCATTTGATAGCCTCAGGACTCATAGTTCAGGAAATGGGAACATCCAAGTAAAGAGCCACTGAAAGGCATCTCTGTGATTTCTTATACAATCCAAGTTAATGATCTTCTATTCACAGTTTGATCTATTCACACTTGATGTGTAAATTATTTTGTGCTTCAATAATTTTCCCTTTGTGACCTCATAATGGTGCATATTTCCATAGAATTCCCTTTCCATCTTTATTTGGTCTATCACTATTTCCTTAAATCTGAACTAAATTCTCTGATTTCATTTTGATGGGTATATTCCTACCCTGTTACCCTTAGTATTTTGCCAATATTTTTATAATACCTGTTTTTCCATTGGACTGGAATTTTTGATGCATCTTTATATGTTATATCACTGGGGGCAGGAAACTCGGCCTTTTTAAACTTGGTCATCACAATGTATGTGCCACATTGGACATAAACTGGTACACTATACTCATGGTTTGGGCTTCCCAGTTGGAGCTAGTGGTAAAGACCCTACCCACTAGTGCAGGAAACAAGAGATGCAAGTGTGATCCTTGGGTCAGAAAGATTCCCTGGAGGAGAACATAGCAACCCACTCCAGTACTCTTGCCTGGAGAATCCTATGGACAGAGGAGCCTGGTGGCTACAGTCCATAGGGTCAAAAAGAGCTGGACATGACTCAAACGACTTAGCACCCATACATTGTTTTAATTGATTGGATAAAGGAAAAGATTAACTTA